AATGGCGCCACGTCAGCATTATTCGCATTCCGCATTCCTGTCTGGTATGTTCCGTCAAGGTGCCTCCTCCAAATTTTCTTCCACTTTTTGCGAACATGTGCGAACTTGGAGACGCAGTTTAAGCGGCCAAAGCTGATGACTACATCTAGACTAGAATCTATATAAACTTTAGATCTGAGAAGGAAACGCTGTGTTGAAGACCATTAAAGTAGTTTTGTTCCCTTTTTATGATCCCAGTAATAGCTTCAGAACATGCCATGGTTTTAAAAGACTGCTATAGACAAATAAATCTGGACATATAATTTACCTGTTTGGCCTAGGTCTTTGTGAGTTGTTAATACTAAGCACAAAGGCATTTGAACAAATATCCGTGTGCGTTTTCAACGACAGCGGCTTCTGAGTTTATCAATCAGGAGGTGGATTGTAAAACAATAGATTACTGTTGGTATAGTGTTGTATACTACCGTTTGAATTTCAAATCCTTACAAAAAGGCGGCAAATTGTGCATAGCAGTGTCCGAGTCATGACGCGTGTTTCTCGGCTAAAGCTGATAATAGAATTTCTTCTACCTCCCTTCGAATATAATTCTTTTGTATTAAGCAAACTGTTATTTAGTAAATAATTTTTCAAAGAATGACTTTTACAAATGTGGCTAAAACTGATAAAACACTTGCCTATGTTACATCCTTCCTATCTCTCTTCCGTTAGAATTTGACAAACATGAATTTGTACGAAGTAGAGTCTCCATTAACTTCTTCCTTTTTGCAGATGCTAGCAGTCGTTTAGTAATAGAATCAGTGCATTTTCTCCTATTGCCTTTTTTCGAGGCAGTGGCGGCTTCCCCCAACATCCTGCTCGATTGTAGGTTTTACTTAAATTTGACTCTAAAAATTTATCGAGCTTTACTGTTCCTCGATTCTTAAGTCCATCGAAATCATTGATGTCATGGGCAAACTCTTTTTAAACTTCTTTAAATTGCATTGGATTAGGTATTTGAAACCTACCCTCTTGAGAGCCTTGAGTTTCTTAGAAAGAACTGAACAATTGCTAATGTCTTACCAAAATCATTAGAAATCTGCCAATCTTGAAGACAGACATTAGATCACACTTCAACATGACCTCCATTTCTTTTGCACTAACATAGATTTGACAGTTTCCAGAATATTTTCAAAGGTACATTGGTTGTTATAATTACTCCTTGCATGGGAGTGTAATGCTTTGTTTGTATAACTACGTGACGTTTGGTAGTCACTTTGGGATTTGTCTGGCTTCTGTCCACGTGGGCTGACCTTCGGGCCACACTCAGGTCCCATTAGACCTGTCGTCTTCGGAATACATGATTTCCACCTCATTTATGCCTTGTACCACCCTACGGGAAGCCTTGCGACGCTACAGAGAGAGGTGCGAATTCAACTCGAACGCCTTGCAAATATAATGCGAGGGCTCTTCATTGGATTATCTCGGAAACCATTTATCGTGCCAGTCTCCCTTCTGTTTGTGCCTCTCTAGGAATGCCTATTAATTCATCATCAAATAATCCTTCTTTTATTAAGACTGAAACAAAGAGTGTGAAGAGCGAAGAAGACGCTATAAATGCTGCCCGATCAGCTCTAAAAGCTTACTCTTTTTCTAATTAGTTCGCAAGAGATAGGTTTGAAGCAATGAGAAAAATTTACAAACTTTCGGCTCAATTTCTTTTTACTATAGTCTCCCTAGATCGTAAAGGACGGGTTCAGCCTGAGAGACCACTTCCGTCTTATTTTGTAGTGCAGATTGTTAGTATCGAAATAAAGGCCTTTTCCTCTAAGAAGCAGGTCCAGAATTCACCCTTCCAATTTAATCGATGGAAGCACTTAATTCAAAATACAATCATACTTGAAACCTATCTGGTTAAGAATAACAACTTTAATCCCTAAATGAGAGAAACGAACAGAAGTAGCGAACCAACTAACAGCCAACCAACAACACAAATCTCTTGCCAGAAACTATGATTCGAGACGAACTATCAAGGAAATAGGGAATCGTCTCGTCGCCTTAATTTTAAGGAATGTTTCTTGATGATCCAAAATATCTTCCCCTAGTTTGACTCCTTAAGGTCCACATCCCTGTCAGAATATGCGCAAAAAAATGAAGATCACCGAAAAACGCGTTGATTGAAGATTAAGGTCCCCCGTCTTCCGGCTAATCAGTGACAAACTTTCAGAAATCTTCGCTTTAGTTGCGGACGGTTTGATAACCTTACTGAGCCTCCAATATTCTATTCCCTCTGTAAGCCAAGAGGACTTCAAGCACTGCAATACATTTAGCCTCAGGAGTAGCAAATTGTATAACTGAACCATTGGCTGTCCCCATAAACTAGAAGACCATTGGTACAGGAACAACGCGCTCACTTTGTTTAAACCTTAGGTTGAATCTTCTGGACGGAGGTGAAACCGCGTCAAAGCGATGCATTCCCCTCTTCATTAAAACGAACGTAGACAAATACATATTTCTTTACATCAGGCAACACCAAAGCGCAAAAAAACCAAAACGAAAGGGGACGAGAAGTGGACAACGGACTGGTGCGCAGTATTGCATTCGAAACCTGCCAAGCGGATGTCATCAGTAGAAAGGTGCGGTAGTTTCTTGAGTCTAATCTGAATCGGCGCCTCCCAACACGCCATTATCTTCAGCATCATCAGTGGTGACGGTAACGGAAAAGCTCTCAGGATGTCGGAAAACAGTAAATACGAATTCAGACACTGAGCGATCGAGAAGTGTTGGCTGAGTAGGCAGGAGGTCAATGAGAAAACCAATGTGTCCACCGTAACGCCCAGCACTACTGTCTACGGCATTCACAGACTCAAGCGCTCAATTGAAAAACAAAGTATCATCAGATGGTTCTCAATTCAGCGAGGTGCGCATAAACACTATTAAGTTTGCTGGGTGGATTTGCTGACCTGCTGTTAAGATGAGCATATCACTAAACCGATTTCAGCAAAAAGAGGGCGATTCTAAGAGTGAACGCGTTTCAGCATTATCGGTCAATAAAAAGGTTGATTAGCATCAAGGAATTGATCCGATTTCGGCAACTCCTTGACTTAAGCTACTTTTGTAGCGCAAAATAAGTGGATTCGCTCAAAGTGATCACAAATTTTGCACCATTTACTCAGCTAAATGTCTGTTCAATAAGTGCTACACAGTCAAGAGACAGAAAAATGTTAGTCATAAATTTAAGAAACATTGCCGTGTATCAAGTATGCCGAAAGGACTGACAAAAGTGGATGTGATTGAAAATCCAAGTCCAAGTAAAATAAATGAATTAGATGACCATGTTTAAACATTTTTGATGTTTTTACGCTTCCGATTGCCTTTCAATCATTCCAGTTTAGCCACCATATGAGCACAATGGCTGCAAGTGTCACTATCTAGTATTCAGGACAGAGCAATCAAGCACCATTAATGATTGAGAATGACACCGTCATATCCATCAAACAGCCTTCACAGCCTAGCCGCATGTAACGCACGCATGCGCCATAGCAGTTCAGCTTACTCACACTTAGCGTCGTAAAAAATAGCCCTATCGAGGTTTCTGTCCACAGAATACCTAGACTGGACTCAGCAGGACTCAATCTCATGCTCGATTACGAAGGACCCGTCAATTTTACAGAAGGAATCAGTTTCGCGATTAATTTGCAGCCCTTGCTGTGACCACCACTGTGATTTAATAGACTGTCCACACGACCATCACCAGTAATGCGTAAGGAGGGAGGAATGGGAACGGCGCCATATGCTGTGTGCTGGTCGTGCGCGATGAAAATCAGATTACGCGTCTACACAACTTTCACGAATGACCCAACACCGTGCTATGGACCTTAACTAAGGCATAGACAGTAAGTTCTGAGCGACTGGTAAAAACGGCATGTCCACAAAATTGCATTAACTAGACATCCCATAAAACTCACCATTTAAGTCTTGCTTTTTGCCATCTTAATAAAATAAACATGATTAATATTTGTAAAACTATGAAGGTCTCTGTTGTCGAGAGGCCTGAAAAGAGACACCTTGGAGTTGGAGACAACAGAGCAAGATAAAATAAATCGACAAGCTTCCACTGCTCTGAGAACCACAAAGAAGCATCAGCAAAGGAGGGCAGACAATAAAGGTAGCTTGAACGGCAGTAGAACTCTCAAACTATGGGTGCTTTCGGAATTCGCCTGAATCTCAAGTTATTATTCAAACGCAGCAGGACTCGAAATCCGACCGCCTAGGCAGATGGATGGAAAGAACTCAAATTGAATCCACATATCTCGAAGGGCATAACTATAGAGAGGCGATTAATGGTCGATGATGATCTCGAAAGGGACAGCTAAAGGCCGTCTCATTAAACATATATATATATATATCATCTAAGACTAGAGTATAACAATGGGATTCCGCACGAAAGGTAAAAAAATGCGAAATGGAAAATAAATCGAATGAGCTTACACTCCCAAAGATATACCCACTGCACCCATTGGTTCGTTTGGATATTGAATTCGAACGTGTCTATATTTTATGAGGTGAAGCAAAATCAGACTTACCTCCATTTTGTGACGTCACTTTCCACTGTTTTTTGCAACAACATATCTGGGAACGCAATGGGGAAAACCATTTTCTTTACATGTAGTTACTTCGATTAATTTCTCCAAAAAACACGAGTTATGTAAAGCCAACACCCGCAACCAGTTAGACCAGGCAA